ATCCGTCATGTGACGGACATTGTCAGATCAGAACAACATGTTCCACAACAATTCACCAAAAACACGAAGGCAAGAAAGGTGGCCGGCTTCAAACCTTCCTTCTTATAATCCAATGTGGTCCACTTAGCATTTCATGTTTTGGTTGGATGTCCCGTGCTTTTTGGCTGTGTTTGCTTATAAGTTCAGTTAAAAGGTTGAGGATGACATGTGAAGTGGCTACAAAGGGAGCGTGAAATGGATGCAATTGAAACCAAACAGCTGCATCGTCCCACAGAACACTTTGATCCTGCAATGTTACCGCTCACCTGATCTCTGTATCCAAGGTCTTTGAGCCATGTCTACATTCAGGATGTAACTAAATTCACCATCTAATCGAAAAATGTGTTGAGAAAAGGCGGATGCGAGTTTGTTCGTACTCACTGTTCATTGTTAATTTCGTCCGTATCATGATTAATTAAGTTTTTATTCGATAAGATCTAGATTAAAGCCTTCAATTTCGTCATATTCAAGGATTTAACTGTCGATATTTCGTTGATAACAACTTTGGGGAAAGCAAGGCTATGGGAAATTCAATGGAAATGTCACCTCATATAATTGTGGGAAAATTCTACTACCAGTAGATATATATATCGATAAAAAGTTAGCTAGCTAGCTAGATAGACAGATAGATATGTAGGTAGATATAGATATAGATAGATAGATAGATAGATAGATAGATAGATAGATAGATAGATAGATAGATAGATAGATAGATAGAGGGGTTCGGCTAATTATCTTTTTATATTGGTCCTGTTACTTTCGCTCGAGTGTGTGCGTGTGTGTGTTAGCGTCTATATGCAATACGGTTCCTAAATCAGAGTTTTCAGAGGTTTTGCTCCTCAAGACCTAATGCCCCAAAACAAAGTCTTGACTGAGACTGCGTAAGTCCGTAGGCAAGTATGAATGAGATGATGAGATATGAGCTTGTAAGCATGTAAGTCAAGTTACGAAACCCTTTTTCCTAATCTCTCAGGCTAGGGTCATTAACGTTTAACCCTCCAAGGAAAGGCAAGATTGGGGTTGCGTAATCTGACATGTTTGGTTTGGTTAATGAGCTCAATCTAACATGTTGGACGAGTGTGAGTGAAGTTAGAACCATCACCGAACAGACAAATTGAGTCGACTTCTTGCGAATGGCGGCTGAACACCCTCTTTCTCTTTCAATCTATCAATCAAGACTCTTACAAGAATGAAACCGAGCTCTGATGATGTCCATCGAATGATGGACGAAAGGTCAGCACGTTTTCACCCGAAATGAGGGAGAAAGTCTCGTGGACTGCGTCAACATGAATATCCTATAGAATCCAACCGGCTGCAGTACAACGAGATACATTCGTCCTCATCTGGTTAGCTCGATCAACGAATCTCTTCTCTTTATTCACTTTCATACAATGTTATCTCAAGAGATTCATCGAAACCCAGTTTCTCTTCATTTCTTTTTCCTGTCGCCAAATAGCAAAGTATGTGTTTAGTGACGTCTACACGC